TGTAGTAGGTGCTAAAAGGTGACTAGCTGTAGACACCCCATTTTTGACCGAGCTTAAGACTCAGACGTCATCATTTGTGCACGCGATGATTGCGTATGTTTGTGCTTGTTTCGAGCGCCCGAAGGTCTCGGCTGAGCGCCTTGTCTCAGGGTCTCTTAACTCTCTTCTTTTTGGCCTTGTTTTTAGACCGAACCTTGGTGCCTTTGCCTGGAGGGAGAGAGAGGCCCGTAGGCCACTTTTTGTAGTTGTAAGCTACTTTTCTCTTAGGCCACTTGCAGTGCCCGGTAGGCTAGTTTCGGGAGCTTTCAGCTGAATGCCTTGTCTTGGGGTCTCTTGGATCCCTTCCTTTTGGTTTATTTTTGGACCATACGTTATTGCCTCTTGCCTAAGGGGGAAGAGGGCCTTGCCGGCCACTTTTCTCCCTTGTAGGCCACTTCAAGTGGCCGACTGGCTAGTAAAGTGGCCGGCAGGCCACCTTAACTAGCCGGCAGCCACTTTTTCTCCTTTTTAGATATTTTCAGATATTTTCAGCCAGTTGTGGCTCGCTAAACTCATCCTCCATACACGTATATAGAGGGATTGAGCAAGATTTTTGGCTTGCTTGCTCTATAAAAAGGGAGCTTCCTCCCCTTGAGAGGGGTTCAGATTTTTTAAAGCTAAAAATCTCCCGCTCTCTCTAGAATTCTCACTCTCTCTCTCTATATTGTGCTATTTTGAGCCTCAAAGTGTTGTTTCTTCACACTTTTGCACACAAACACCTTAACTTTGGAGCTGAGGTCCCTTGGAGCTTGTTTTGAGGTCTTTGGCTTGTTTTTGGTTCAGAATTGTTATTGAAGTTGCTGTCTTGTTCTTGTTCTTCAAGGGTAAGCATACACCCTTTTAAAGCTTTGTTTTGATTAAGTCTTTTACCACCTTTGCATGCTATTTAAAGGCTGGTTTTAGCCTCTTTATAACTCTATTTTTAAGACTTTAAAGTGTTGGTTTGAACCTTGTGGGGTTAAGGGGGTGGTCCCCATCTTTTGCTCTTTGGTTTGTTAAGCCTTTTGAGCCAACTCTCTAAGCTTTTGTATTGACCCTTGCTTGGCTTTTTGCTACTAAAACTCAGAGGAATTTCAGTGGTAAAAAGTTGTTCTTGTGGCCCAAAATAGGAGGGGTGATCCCCTCTCCTTGTATTCTTGTTTACTTGTGTTGGTAGCCTAATACATGAGCATGTATTTCTCTCTTTTTGAAGCTTAGTCCAAGCATGTTTTTGTGACTTTTTGGACCTGCCATGACTCTGTTTTTGGTTGGTTTGATCATTGGTTTCATGCTTCATACACTTGTAGTGAAATCCTACTTGCTAGCCTAACATGCTTCATGTCTTAGCCTATAATCCTAGCATGTTTCGGCTCCACTCCAGCATGTTTTTGGCATTGTTTTAGCATGCTTAAACTCTGTTCCAAGTGGTCTTGGTAATGTATGGCTTGCTTTGTATAGCTATGGCATAGTTGGCTTCACTAGTCTTGAGTTTTGAGGCCCTTAGCATGCTATATTTGTGATGTGTGCATGATATGGCATCATTTGATATGTAATTTCAGAGTATAAACTTCTGTCATACTCTCATGTTTATCACTCTTTCATTATGTTTAAGAGTTGTGCCCTTATGCCTTATTTGTGAGCTAATACATGAGCATATCTTTCTTGCCATCTATGCTGCGAGTCTAGCATGTTTTTACTACTGTTTTGACCTGCCTTAGGTCTGTTTTGAATGGTTAAGGTCATTTGAGCATTACTAAGTATAGTTGTAGTGTAAAGGGCCTTGACTAGCCTTGAGTTTTGGGACCTTTAACATGTTGTATATGTGTTGTTTGTATGATATGGCATCATTTGGCATGATAATTCAGAGCATATACTTCCATCATACACTCATATATATCGCTCTTTAATTGTGTTTGAGAGTTGAGCCTTATGCCTCGTTTATGAGCCAATGCATGAACATCATCTTCTTGCTTTTCGTGTTATCTTCTCGATTCATTTTAGCCACTGTTTTGGCCTGTTATAGCTCTGTTTTGGGCTGGTTTGGTTGTTTGTGCATAATATTGCATGCCTCTAGTGTTGTGTCCTTCGCTAGTCTCGGTGTTCTTGGCTCTTAGCATGCATTGCATGAGTTGTTAGCATGTTTTAGCATTATTTGTCGTGCCATTTTAGTGCTGAAATGTATACCATTGCATGTCATCTTTCATTTGTTGTATCACTTTAAAAGAGGTCTTAAGCCCTTTGTTGGTTTGAGCATGAAATTGAGGCGTTCATGCCCAATGGCATGATGCTTCTTTCATGCTCAAGAAGCTTGTAGCTTGGTCCGTCTTTCAAATTAGAAGACTTCTCACTTTTGGACTTAACCGGTTAAAGGGCTTATCGGTAATCTAAAACGAGTAAACAAAATGCAACAAAGTAAAACATGCCAAGATACACATGTTTGTGTTGCGTTGCATGTGTTTGGATCGAACGTGTCTCATTTCTTAGTCACCGGCACCCTTTATCGTGCATGATAGGGTGGAGGTTCATCAAGTCTATTTGTGCATTCATTGACTTGTGCAGGCTTGACTCTTTGGCCATTATGCATTGAGATGCGTGATTAGTGGCTTAAGAGCCGAGTACTACGCTCCTTTGAGCTTGAGAAATGATAAGGAGAGTAGTTAAACACACATTTCCTTGTAAATGCATTGTTGTGCCTTTGTTAATCTCTGTTGCAGCAAAGTTGAGATTCTGGAAAGAGAAGTGGCCGGCCGGCCACTTGCAGCAAAATTTTCCAAAATGCTCATGTTTTGAGGCAGATGCAACCTGAAAATGTGTTTGATGCTCTGAGGTCACCGCAAGTGCAAACAGAGACAACTTATGGCAAGGCAATGCATTTCTGGGCGAAGCAAACCGAGCATGTATCTCTCCCTCTTCTCGAGGCCATTTTAACTACTTTGTTTAGATAGTTAATTTACCGGTTTTGTAATTAATTAGTTAATGTGCTTAGCTAATTTAATTCATCTCTGTAATATTCTAATTAGCTTAGCATAGCTAGTTTCAATTCGGTTTGTAATAATTAGTTAGCTAGATTAGTTAATTAGTTGGTTTGTAATAGTTAGCTTAATTAGCATAGCTAGTTGGCTTGCTTATTCGGACCCTCCGTCGAGAGGGAAAATGTTGTAATAAGCGTGCGTGTGTGTGTGAATGTCTTCCAACCCCACGTCTTTCTCCCTTTTATTTACCAGCTTTTGATGGTTAGTTTTAGGGCATGTTTCAATTAGCATACTTATGCTTGCATGCATGCATCATTCATTCGTCTTGCATGCACCGGGCTCGGCGCATCATTCAAACTGCATTGTATTTCAATACACTTTCTTGAATACGTGTTCCAAAGCATGTTATCGAGTGTTACATTCATATGTCATCTTAGAATAGCCAAGCCTATTTAGTTGCATCTTGCATGTGTTGCATTAGGCATCTTAACATAGCTAGGATCATGCATTGATTTTTAACTAGTTTTCTATTTTGACTCGGAGTACACTGTGAGTGTTTACGCTTTAGCATCCTTGCATGAGTGTAAGTGATTGTCATGTTTAGCATGCTTGCCATGAGGTTATGTGCTTAAATGATTAACTATTTGAATGCCTGTGGGTGAAGGCTTTATTGCTTGAATTGGAACAATTCATCAAAATGTAAGTTTTAAGCCCACTTGAAGTGGCAAATCATCATGTTTTTAAGCCTACCTTATTTGGTGGTAAATCCGCGTTTTAGCCTACTTGCGAGTAACACATCTTCAAATCACTTTCGAAAAGCAACACATGAGATGTTTTGTTTCAAATCGAGCGATTTAGTCTATACTTGTATGCTGTGCGCATCACATAGCAAGGTTAGCTAATAAATCAGAATAAGAACACATGTGTTTTCAAAATAACATATCATGTTTAGTAGAGACCGATCCTTTGATCGGGCTAGCGGGGGTGCTCATTTCATGACCTTCCCCCCTCGCACCTAAGTTCTCGAGCCAAGACAACTTTGATGATGACGGACACGTGGCCTTAGGCACGAGTCAAGGTTTCCTAAATTTTTCAAAATAAAATATTTATGTGGCAACTCTAGAATCTGGCAAAGCAGTCCATGTTTGGCACGTTTGATTCAAAATTGATTTTTCAAAACCAATTGCCGGATTTAGACTCTTTGGTGATTTATCAGTCTTACATTGTACTTTGTGAGATTAGATTCAGAACCATGACAGGAGTCTGAACTATAGTAGCTAGAACCCAATTCGCGCCTTCGCGCAATGAGAGAGTTTCGGGCGGTCTACACTAGCTAAAATAATGAAATAACTTTAATTTGACTAAAAATTTGAAGAGTTTGGTGTGGATGCTCTAAACATACATATTTTTTTCTCTACTTTTTTAACTAAAAAGTCAAAAAGTACACTTATATAGCACATTTCAAACAACTACTAAGACCATTTACAATGATTACTTAAATCTATCATCAAATTTAAATTTGATAAAAAATAACTCATTTTCTTACTCTAACAATTTCATCAAATAGGTATTAAATTGAATATTTAATCTTTTTTTCATCAAACTGTGAACTAATATACTTTTCATTAAATCACTGTTCATTGTTATTGTCGAATGTCTCCAAAATGTCTTTGGATGTCCTCTTGGTAGTCTTCTCAATGATTACCTCAAGACAAAAATTTATAAAAAAAAATTATCGTAACTAGTCGACTGACCGATCGTCCACCCGATCAACTGATAATTTGATAAAACTTCAAAATTCTTCGTTAAAACATTTAATATCAAAAAACTGTTTACTCAAATTTTTATTCAAATTTAATAAAAAAATTTAATACACCATTACAGATGCTATTGCATTGGCAATTCAGCATTTAATTAGTAATTTAATTTAAGGAGACGTGGGCCGGTGTAGTACCTTACCCTTTTCGTCAATCAATTTTATTTCACGTTTTCAACCTCCTTCCTTATCCAACCCCGGAGGAGGACCAACAATTAATTAATAATCTGTCTCTCTCTCTCTTATCAGTCCGTTCGGTCGTCTCCGAGGCGAGTTGGGGGAGTTTATTCGGTCGGATCGGCGGTGAAGAAAAGGCACATATTACAGACTCAAATACTATGGGGAAGATGAGATCTTTCAAACAGGAGTTTTCATTCGGTTTGCTTTTCTTTTCTTTTTTTATTCTCTATCGTTTTCACTTTCCTTTTATTTCTTTATAATAATAATAATAAAATAACTCTGAAATTAAAAAAAATTCAGAGGAACGATCGGAGGAGTCGCGAGATATGATCGCCAAATATCCTGATCGAGTTCCCGTAAGTCCCCCCCATCTGGATGGATCCTCACTTATATTTTCATCTTTCCTTCCTTCTCTCGAAACTCTGCTTGCTTCTTATTTATTTTTCTCTCGATTGGCTCTTCCTTTCATATAATATCATCTTTATTTCATTTCTTTTTCTTTTTCTTTTTCTTTTTCTTTTTCTTTTTTGGTAACTCATCTCAGTTTGTATTATTATTATTATTATGAAAGGATCCGAAAATCCGTCTGATCTTATTTCGTCTTCTTCTAGTGTTTTGATTTTCACTTAATTCATATAAAATATGATGTTGTGCATGGGAATTCAAATTTGATCTCAGATCAGGTGTACTTGTAGTTTTCTATGGCATTTGATTTCGAGTTCGTATCTGTTTCAGATTTTTGTGACATTAATTAATAATAGCACAGCAGGCATCACACAATTTCTCAAAGAGATTCTTTCAGGGTTTTTTTTTTTTTTTTTTTGATTAGAAGATACCTAAAGCAAACGAGGGCTGCACTGCATTATAATTTAATTTATATTTGTGAGATGGATGGGGTATATCTATCTTATATTCTTAGGAGGAAATTCTTGTAATTGGCTACTAATTGGCTTAGCTATAATATAAATCAGTCATTATTTAATGTTTTTCCAAATGCTTGCATTCTTCTCTTCACAAATAGCGACTGTCAGAAAACCCATCTTGTTAACGGATTCTGTTTTAGTAACATTTCAAAAGTGCTTGTGCTTTAAAAAATAAATAAATAAATAAATTAGAGACACTTATTATTCTTGTGTTACCTTAGTTTGCTCTTAAAAGAAGGAATAAAGGATTGCAAAGTTACTTGATTGATTTATCACTATGAAATGATGATGTTTTGAAGAATGTTACTCTGCAGGTGGTGGTTGAAAGGTATTCAAACACAGACCTCCCTGAGATAGAAAAGAAAAAGTAAGTCCTTCATTCATTCACTTGACCTCCCAGAAAATATACTTGTCCAGGAGCAGGAGCAGGAGCATTACTTGTTTCTTGAAACAGTTACTTATTGAGTTTAGATATTTAGGTGTTGTAGATGAGTTTCCTTTTCAGTTTTTTGTTTCCTACCTCTTTTTGTACGAGGATAAAATCAAACTGCTAATGTCAAATCATCCACTCTGTTAGTTCAATTAAATGTATGCCCTCTCAGCTTTTCTTTGTCCATTGTTCTTTAGTTCATGAATTATAGTTTTAGCAGTATCATGCCCAACTCATTGACCAATTCCATCAGCTCTCTTAATGGAGGAGCATTATTCTTTTTTGGTGTAATCAATTTTTGTGGAGAAAATATAAATTAGTTTTTCCCTTTTGTGCTGCTCTTCTATGCGTGCATTCCTGTATTAAGTCTCATAGCCACATTGAGGACTTAGCATCACCCTATCCAAACCCCCTTTTTCTTCATCCACAATGTTTATAATTATGTGTGAAATGCTGTGTAACTTTAACATTATGTTTGATTGGGGGATTTGGGAAAGGATTTGGAAATGGAAAGGGAAAGGAAAAAAGTGTATGAAATTATGTGAAATGTAGTTATATTTTATTCACATTTTACCTATTTTTTCTTTTCTGTTTCTGTTTCTGTTTCTCTTTCCAAATCCCTTCTCAAATCCCCCAACCAAACACAGCATAAGAATCTGTTCCTTCATCCATTTTCAAGCAAGATGTCAGTCTGTTAAAATTGAGTGAGATGAAAGATGTAAATTTTATGGTGCTCTTTAATAGGATGTTCTACAATTTCATATGCCTTTCTAGCCTTATTGCTATGATCACACCTCAAACATACCCCAATTGTGAGCATTAAAGGTGTGTTCTTTTAAAAAAAAACTGATAAAAAAGCTAGTTGAGCTTTGTAGTCAAGTGTTATCAAAACCGAATTGAACCATCTGCCATGAGGCATGGACATGGGACACGAGATGGACACATGGATATGCAAATTTTCAAAAAATAGAGGACTCAACACGCTTCAAACAAATCTCTCTCTCATACACATCAAATCAATCACTTTTTCCAAAACTCTCTCTCAAAATAATTTTCCAAAACATCTTTCAAAAAAGACCAAACCAAACAACTTTTCGTACTTTTTATCTCCTAAACTCATCTCCCAAAATCAAACCAAACAAGCCCACTATTTTTATTTATTTATTTACTTTAATATCAAATATCATTCACAAATTAATTTTTTTCTACAAATAAAAATAATAAGTTCTAGGGAAATTCTAATATACACCTTTTTTAAAATGGTGTACCATATGCACCCCTATTTATGTCATTTTCATCTTTAGTTATGACAATTTTCTTGTTTAGTCATGGCATTATTTTTGTTATAGCTCATGAGTTCTTTAGTTACGTTTCATATTGTATTTAATTGTGATATTTTTTCTTTTTTTCAGTTATGACTTAGAAAATTGAAGTTGTGTCATTTTTCTTTTTAGTTATAAAGTATATATGGTACACACCCTTTGAAGGCTGCGCGTCATAGTGTTTCCCTTTATTCTATGTATGTTAATGTTTTGTAAACAAGAATATCCAAAAAAAATGGGAAAAGGGAAAAGAGTGGAAAAAAAGGTATAGTGTCCAACACGTGTCCATGTCGGACACCCATATGCTGCCTTTGGAGAGGTGTCCGTGCTTTGTAGACTGTCTGGTTCAACTTGGAACCAAACCCAAATCGGCTTGGTTCTGTTGTTGCATTGGAAATTTTAGTGAGCCAGATGGGTCTATAAAATGCTTAAAAGGTTTTAGTCTAACATTAACTCCACTCTGGTTTTTTAGCAAATATAGAATAAATCCTAATAAAAATAGAACTATGAGAGTGGAAGACAGAAGTAACCTTTAGTCACATGGTATGGAGATTTATTAGCTGTTGTCAATCTTACTAAAACAAGGGTCACTTTTTGAATCATATGATCTCCCTGTGTGTGTGTGTGTGTGTTTAAGCACCGGTGGATCCTGTTATCACAACATTAAATAATGACTGGTCTACCATTGCTGGTACATACCATTTAGGTTGGCATGGCTGAAGAATTCTGATTTGAAATAAAAGGTTGCTTTGAAACACATTTGTCATCTTTGAAGCATTTCTGTGGAGTGGTGGAGTATCCAGTAATTGAACTCATATTAGGTTTCATTGAGCTCCTGTGTGATTGTTTTTATGTGGTGAACTAGCGATGGAGGAATGGATGATACATACGAACATATTTTGAGCTGAAACTTGCGCCTGTGTGATTGTCATCTTACTTTTGTTTCTCATTTTTAAGGAGATTGATCAGCTTAGTTTTAATGTTTGTGTTTCTTATTTTGTGTTTGAAATAGATACCTGGTACCCCGAGACATGTCTGTTGGGCAATTCATTCACATCCTGAGCTGCAGGCTTCGTCTGGCTCCTGGGAAAGCTCTCTTTGTATTTGTGAATAGTACTTTACCTCAAACATGTAAATTCACCAATATCTTTGGATTTTTTTGAGGGTTTGTCAAGAGACTCAGGACCATATGCTAATTTTTTTTATTTACTTTGTTTTTTTTTTTTACTGTTCTCTGCAGCAAGTCTGATGGAATCTGTCTATAAAACCTTCAAGGAGGAGGATGGGTTCCTGTATATGTGCTACAGCAGTGAGAAAACCTTTGGTTGTGGTAATTCCCAGACATGCGGATGCACTTCTTTGTAAATTCTGGCAATCTGCTCCTATTCTGATGCTTGAAACATAATGCAGTATTTGTGTATTAAACTGCTGCACATTATAATTGGTTCTGTAAATTCTTCAGATTGGAAATGATCTTGAATTTATTACAAATAGTATTATTTTTAATTGAGACTATTTTTTTTAGTTTACAATAGGGATGAGAGCAGGAATCTCCTCCATCCAAAATCAAGGGGGAATTCAAACTTGTAGAAGCCATACTGGCCAAACACAGCCACAGCTTTAACAGCATTCGGTGAGGGTCCCATCCAAACGGACATTTTGCTAACCCCGGTTTCTTCATAAAAGGCACAGCCTTGAGCACAACACAAACACAATCAATATCTGTTACATCAAGCACTTTCCTTCATAAAACTCTGATAACACGGCAGTACCCGTGGTGATATTTAAAGGGGAACTTACAAGTCACTGTTTTATTCCAAAAATAATTAGTGACTCTTGGAAAAGTATATGATTTTAATTATTAAAGTATGTAAAGTTCATCACTAATTTACGTTGTAACAACCCTCCATACCATTATCTTCATTGCCATTATGAATTACGACTCTTTGCTGAGCTCTACGAAAAAATTCTTGCGAACTCTTTGCCGACCTGAGTGAAAATTCTTGCAAATACTCTCATGGGGTGAACCTGGCATTATATCTCCTCTGGCATCTTGTATCTCTGATTGAAGGGTGTCTGTTGGACCAAATGCCCCACGAGAAGACTGTAAAGAACAAACCCAACCCAACGTTGCTTCATAAAATCATTGAAATGCACCAGCAGTCTCGCATTTAGGGCTTGGAAAATAATAAATGCTTGGAAAATAAATTGAGAGAAATTATTATAAATAAAATATAAAAAAGAACAAGGAAAATACTCTTAATGATCCAATCCGAATCTAAGCGAGCATTGATGAGTAGCTTGTGCATATTCCATATGATTGAGCAATGCTTATTTATAATTAGGTTTTATCAAATTGAACACCTATTATTACTATGTCTCTGCATCATACATACACACCCACCACTAAGTGATGACACTTTCCAAATGTACTCCCAACACAGCTTCATTTTAACACAAACAACAAAACACTGGAAATCTAATGGATTGATGCCCCATGTATAATCATAAATTATAAAAGAAAAATAACCGCCGAACCCCTGGACGTTAAAATTTGTCCCTTTCCTTCCTAAAATAAAAGAAAAGAGCTATGATTCCCTGGATGATTTAGTAGAAGTAACGCATTAGCCCCATTGAACGCAGCAACACTGTCCTGACACAACAAAAATCCATCGATTGAGCACACAAATTGGATAAAGCCAATCTCAACTTGGAAATATGCCAAAAAGCCCTGGGAGCAAAACATGCAAGTTACCATGGAAAACACCAGCTTTAATCACACATCACAGTAACGTTTTTGCAACTGATAATGAAAATGAATTTACTTTTTGGAATCTCTAGCAGTCATTGCCAACAGTCTCTGACCTCCACCCTTTTGCCAAACACCACGCACAGGCAGCCCTTCACTGGGGTTCTTGGATGCATCTGATGCTGCCTCCGTTACATCTGGATCCGGATCTGGATCTGAATATTTGAGATCCAAAAGTGCCGCCACTGAGCCATCACCAAGGCGAACCCTGTGAAACTTCGAGGTTTTCTTCCGCTGCTTACTTTTTCCACCAGCATCCCCCAAATTTTGATTAGATCCAACACCAACAGAGCCGTAATCATTTTCACCTTTCAGCTTTGCAGAAGGTTGACTAAGTGAACTCATTTCTGCCTGTGGCTTATTGACCTCTACCTTCGATTTGCCTTTGGCAGCCCTGTATCCATCCTTTGACAATACCTCCACCACCTCTTCTTCTGAAGGCTTGTAACTTGACTGCAATTTCTGTAAAGCATCTATAACGCTATCTACTAAGTTATTGTTTGAACTATTGTCTTCAGCATCTAAGCACTTCCCTTTACCTTTCTTGGAACCATTACCATCTTTCATACGTGAGCTGTCCTTGCTCCAACCATTTTCTTGTGGGCCATTGTTTCTCAAAGTCGCATCATAGGTCTCAACAAGTGCTCTCTGCTTCTCAGCATCAGGACAGAGTCTAGCCAACTCAATAACAAGATGTGACAAGCCAAACTGATTCACGTAACCTACATAAGTCTCTGCATCCATCAAGCCCTGTCGATATTCTCCTGATATATCCTTAAATGCACTGTACTTCGCTTCATCAAAATCTAGAGCAGATCGTATTCTTTCTACCAAAGACTTGTTTGCAGTATGAACATCTTCCACCTTCAGCTTAGACTGGCCACTTGTGGGCAACTTGCGCACCTGTGTTGCAGAAACTGGAGGAAAACCAGAATCAGAAAGGTCAAAAGATGAACTGTCAGCAAGGTTCGGGGCAGATGTGGAATGGATGATCCTACTGGTACTGCCCATTTTTCTTGAACTCGAAAAACCAGCAGGTGAAGGTTCATGAACTGCTGCTGGTTGAGCCTGCGCCAAACTTGAATAACTGAAAGGTGCAGGTCCATAGTCTGTTTTTGCCTTGGTATGACCAGAACTAGATGATAATCCAGCTGCCCCACTTTCTGTAGGCCAAGTATGGATTGGATCAGTTGCTGGTAGCACAGGTGCATGACTTGCAGCTGGCCATGCCTGAGCTGAATTGGGGTGCGTCACATTTCTGTTTGTTTGGCGACGTAGATGTGTTGCCATAGTATTCCTGGGTAAAACTTCAGGTTCATGTTTGGGTTTTTGTTGACTGCTAGCAGGTGCCATTGGGAGGGGAGGAAAGGAAGACTCTACTATTGGTGCATTCCTTGAGTTCTGTGACAATGCTTGAAGGTATCTTGATGGCTCAGAATCTGTTGTACCGAACGATTCAAATGGTTGAATAATTGGATCAATATCACTCGTCTCTCCATGATTGGAAACTATTTGTGTTCTGAATGATGACGGATCATGAAATGTTCCATCTGCATTAGCCATCTCATAACTGGCTTCGATGGCCATAGAAAGTTGATCTTCAGAATAATCACGATGAAATGTCCGACCCCTTCCCCTTCCACGGCGGTTATCTTGTTCATTACTTCGTTGATAACGGAAGCTGGTTGGTATCTGGATGGAAGAGAAAAAAGGTTAGCACAGCATGTTAATGCCTAGCAACAAATACAAAAATATATGGGATAGAAATTGATGACAGCTTCCAGGCAAATAAAAAAGGCAGCAACATGAAAAAAGGGCTTTAAGAAAGAAATAGAACGTCTTTACAAGGACTAGACCACTAGAGTTAGAATGATAAACGTGCCTGAAGAACAGCATTTCGCTTAGAACGTGACATACGACCTCCATGTTCCATAGCATTATGTCTCTGAAATTGAAAGAGAATTTATTAAGTGAATGAAATCCTCATAACCATATTTTTGCACACTACTCATCAAATAGGCTCTGAGAAGTCACCTTTATTTCAGCTTCAGACTGAAAGACGACAAATTTTTTGCCAAGGCAGGCCTCATCTTCACATAAGAAATGCTCTCGGCGGAAGTGGATCTGTTACAGGAAACTGAATTTATTCATACAGATAACTTCGATCTCAAATCAGGTAAAATATTGATAAATATCATACCTCCAAATCATCATAGTTCTTATAGTACTCATACTGTCCAGGATGCTGCCTGCAAAGAACGGTGGAAGGATGATGTGAGCTTTTACTTATTTTCAATGGGAAACAAAGATGATGTAGTTCTAATAAGAAACTGCATATCTCACCTTTGGCATATATGACAGGTATAATGTTCAGTAGACATATGCGAGTACAGTTCATTATCCCCATAAAAGGGGGTTCTACAGAATTCACACAAAGGATGCCCCATGAAGCCACCTCTTTCACTCTCTGTTCCATCCACCTCCGAGTCACCAGTGTTTATATGCTGATTCAGTTGTGCTCTAGTGTATAGCTTTTGTTCACAGATAAATACCTGATCCATTTTAAATTAGTCCAGTCAGTTAACCATGTCAAATAATATTAATAATAACAACATAAAATAAGCAAAATATGACACTATCTGATAAGTTCCAATAATGAGATAAAATCAAAGGAAACAAACAGTGAACAGAAAAAAAAGAAAAAAACCCTTCAACGGATCACAATAGCTAACGTAACATGCTTCAAACACTTAGAGGGAAATATGTCCATCACACTTAGAGACCCATGAAAAACATTACAAATTTGAAGAAAATCACTTGAGATCCAATAATAGAATAAAATCAAAGGGGGGGGAAAAAAAAAAACCCTTCAATAGCTCACAATATCTAAATCATCAATACCACTCATACAACGGTAATTGATTGAGCATTACAACCTCTTCAATTTCCTCTCCTTTCTAGTGGTAATTGAGCCCCTACTTTACTTCCTACCGTTGTTAGCCTCGTGACTCCAACCTTTGTCAATATCTTCCATCAGTTGCAACTGTCCTTGTCAAAACCCCCAAATGATAACCCCAATACATTGCATACTCTAATTATATTTTGTTCCTGATATGATCAACTCCAGCATATGTAACCTGGTCTTTGAATTATTAGGGTAAGTTGTGTCGAGGGCTGAACTACAAACAGGTTTGTATGAATTGAGACATTATAAAATCTAGGTATAGCAAATGTGGAGAATTGTCTCAAAATCACAGTAAAATCTGAATATGGTGCTTTGATTTTGTCAATCTCTATATTCAGTTAGAACCCCCTTGGATTCAGTGCTCTTGAGATTATATTGATATGGAATGGTGACGTTGCCAGATGAAGAACAAGGTGTGGTATGACTTGGGCAGAAATCATTCAAGTTCATTGGGGAAGGTGAGAGAGAAAAAACTGAGGTGGTGGTGGAGTGTGGGAGAGGCATTCAAAGATCTCTTAAGTTACTGAGTTATTATGTCTTATTTTTTTGAAAATTACCACATCAGCGTATCAATATAGTTTAAAGAATCTGAAGTTTGATGCTTGACCATCATATGTATGCATATGCAAATACATCTGTACATGCAGTGTGCCATTATGTGAATAGGTGTGTGTGTGTAGTCTGTACAAAAATATGCTGTTGCAGTACATTATAAAT